AACAAAATCTCAACATTTCTAGGAAATCTCCTGCTATGAATGAGCATTACGGCCAAGTGTTATCATCTGTCCACATGATGCTGTGTGAGGAGGAAGGTCCAGTATCACCTCATCACTTGGTCCAGTCTGCCAAGAATTATCTTCTAACGGGGAAATCCTTGGCCGAAATATGTGAGCACAATGCTGCGGTGGCCAAGAAGCTGAACAGACCGCAGGTAACATATCCTAAAGAAGGAAAAAAAGTGTGTGTGTGTGTGAAATGGAAATAATGATAACAAAGTATTACTTTTTAAAATCTGGAAATAACAGATTGTTGCTTGAGTTGTGTTAATAATGAGTTTCTCTGTAAACATAATATTTCAACTAAACAAAATCTCAACATTTCTAGGAAATCTCCTGCTATGAATGAGCATTACGGCCAAGTGTTATCATCTGTCCACATGATGCTGTGTGAGGAGGAAGGTCCAGTATCACCTCATCACTTGGTCCAGTCTGCCAAGAATTATCTTCTGACAGGGAAATCCTTGGCCGAAATATGTGAGCACAATGCTGCGGTGGCCAAGAAGCTGAACAGACCGCAGGTAACATATCCTAAAGAAGGAAAAAAAGTGTGTGTGTGTGTGTGTGTGTGTTGTGTGTGTGTGTGTGTGTGTGAAATGGAAATAATGATAACAAAGTCTTACTTTTTAAAATCTGGAAATAACAGATTGTTGCTTGAGTTGTGTTAATAATGATTTTCTCTGTAAACATAATATTTCAACTAAACAAAATCTCAACATTTCTAGGAAATCTCCTGCTATGAATGAGCATTACGGCCAAGTGTTATCATCTGTCCACATGATGCTGTGTGAGGAGGAAGGTCCAGTATCACCTCATCACTTGGTCCAGTCTGCCAAGAATTATCTTCTGACAGGGAAATCCTTGGCCGAAATATGTGAGCACAATGCTGCGGTGGCCAAGAAGCTGAACAGACCGCAGGTAACATATCCAAAAGAAGGAAAAAAAGTGTGTGTGTGTGTGTGTGTGTGTGTGTGTGTGTGTGTGTGTGTGTATACAATACATACATACATACAAAGTCGTACTTTTTAAAATCTGGAATAACAGATTGTTGTTTGAGTTGTGTTAATAATGATTTTCTCTGTAAACTAATATTTCAACTAAACAAAATCTCAACATTTCTAGGAAATCTCCTGCTATGAAATGAGCATTACGGCCAAGTGTTATCATCTGTCCACATGATGCTGTGTGAGGAGGAAGGTCCAGTATCACCTCATCACTTGGTCCAGTCTGCCAAGATTATCTTCTAACGGGGAAATCCTTGGCCGAAATATGTGAGCACAATGCTGCGGTGGCCAAGAAGCTGAACAGACCGCAGGTAACATATCCTAAAGAAGGAAAAAAAGTGTTGTGTGTGTGTGTGTGTGTGTGTGGGTGGGTCTGGGTGTAGTACATACATACATACATACATACATATATATATATATATATATATATATATATATATATATATATATATATATATATATATATATATATGTATATATATATATATATGTATATATATATATATATATATATATATATATATTATATATATGTATATATATATATATGTATATATATATATATATAGATATATATATATATATATATATATATATATATATATATATATATATATATATATATATATATATATATATAAATATAAATATGAATATATAAATATATAAATATATAAATATATACATGTATACATGTATACATGTATACATGTTTACATGTATACATGTATACATGTATATATATATATATATATATATATATATATATATATATATATATATATATATATATATATATATATATATCTGTATGTATATATTATCTCTCTCTTTTTTTTTTTTCAGATTGCTTTGACTTGGCAGATGTTGCAACTATTGTATGTAGGTGCAGGTGGAGGTACCGATCCTTTGATAGGAATCCAGTCTTCATCAAGGGATGATCCTGCAATTCAGCCAGACACTAGCATGGAAAATGATCAGAGGTAAAGCCAGTGATTACAGTACAGGATGTGTTAACAGTCAGAGGTTTTCCCTACCCCTTTTTTTCTTTTATGAGTCATACTTTTCAGTGACAAGACAATGCAAACATTCTTCTTTTTAACAAACAAAATGTATTTAAAGTTATAGAGTGATTTTAATTATAAATACAACTGATAGCAGTGAGGTGGTAAATTATTTTACCTTATCCCATTCGCGCCGGGCATCACGTATACGTGACGGGCCCACTTTGAGTTTACTTGTTTGATTGTTTACAAACATAGATGGCTCCACTTGCACTTGTACTGCCTGTCTCGTCTGTTTACCCTTTTCTTTAATTTACGAAGTTATTTTGCGTTATCTTATTTTCCTGTTACTAATGTTTATAACATTAGAGTAATTATAAAAATAACCATCGATATTCATAGCACTAGTAAAAATACATTTTCCCGCCAAATGAAATCCGGTAAAGCAGAGCCATCTAGTGTAGAGAAATTTCATTAAAAAAATATAAAAAATGAACACAGCATTTCCCCCATTTTTTGTTCATTTTTACCCGGCGCGAATGGGTTAAGCCCCATGCTAATAATAATCTATCAAGAAGTATTTCTGCATTTCTAAAGAACACATTATATTTTCCAGATCTTCACGCCACTATTCAGGAGGCGATGGAGGAGGAGACACATCTGGTGGAGGCTTTAGTGCAGAAGAAGGAGATACAGAGACTGATGATACAGATAACCATGATCTTAAGCTTACCCATATAGCAAGGTAGGTCTTTTAACCCAATGCCGATGGGCATGGGAAGTACGTACGTGCCAAGCCCACTGTGAGTTTACTTGTTCAATTGTTTTTACACATAGATGGCTACACTTGTACTAAGTTGCCAATGATCCAATTACGAGTACTGCCTGTCTCGCCCATTTACCCTTTTCCTTGATTTACGAAAATATTTTACGTTATCCTATTTTCCTGTTACTAATGTTTGTAACATTATAGTAATATAATGTTTATAATAAAAATGACACCATCGATATTCATAGCACTAGTAGAAAATACATTTTTCCTTCCAATTCAAGGAAAGGTGAAAGCAGGTAAGGTCACAAAGTCTACTAATTAACTTTGTGGCTAAGCACTAGCAGAGCCATCTATGTACAGAGACATTTCACAAAAAAATTTAAAATGAGAACAGAATTTTCCCCATTTTTATATTTTTTTCCTTGGTGGCATGTAGTTAATGAAGAAGGAGTCAAACAAATGTATTATTGTAGTGTTTTGGGGTTAAAATTAAGAACACAGCTTTTTTTGGTCCCATCATTTAATTTTCTTAAGTATTTCAGTAGAGATAAGATGTCCATTAGTAGAAATCAGAAAAATGCAAACAGTCATGTAAATTGCAGCTATTGTCTCTTTAATTTAATCAGAATGTTATAATAAGACTCCACATTTTATACAGCGGCATGACCATCAATCAAGACTTTTTCTTTGGAGATGGGGAAATCAATCAAATGCCTTTTGACTATGACAACCTGAATAACTTTGATACAAGCCAAGATTGGACACTGCCCAATGAGGCATTCCAACCTCGCCATGAGATCCTCTATCCATCTGCCATGCCACCGCAAGAATACCATTCCAAATGCTCTCCAAGAGAAATCCAAGAGTCGGGTAGGCTATGTTTATTTTCTGTTTGGGCCTTAAAGTGATTTTTTCATATATTGACAAAGAATTAACAGAAATTAGATTTATTGAAATATCAGTGTTTGTATATTTTCACAATTTCTTAGGGCTAGATTTATTTGAAATTAGTGCATTTTGCTTGAATTAAAGGCATTTAGGCTTTACAAAATACTGAGTAAATATGCTATATATTTTATGATAGGTACTGCAACAGGATACATTGTTGAACCACAATCACTACTTAGTGAGGTGAAAGGACTAGGAACTCCAGCATGGGAATGCTCTGATCTTGTGGTGAAGATGTTGTACCATTATGCCAGTAATGGGGATGTTCAAATGTCTGTAACATGTGTTATTGTGCTTGGCGACAGGCTGAAGGTGAGCTATATTTGCATGCAGCTTTATTTCTGTTGAAGCTTGATATAATTTTTGTAGAATCCATAGATTTTTCATTCACAGCTTTGATTATACTGAAGTTATAAGATAAGGCAAAGAATTATATGAAAATTCATGTCATTGAATTCTTACCCTGTTCAAACTTTGTTCCTAAATTCTGGTATAATCAAATGGATTTTCTCTATAAACATTTCAGAAGATGAGATTTTAGTTGAGGGAACTACTATAAAATTCAGAAATCTAGCCTATTTACATAATCTGTATTTTCAGGAATATCTTGACAAGGACCAAGTCGAACATTGGTTTCTCTCATATATTGATTTACTACAACGATTCCAGCTTTGGAATATTGCCAATCAAGTCATCCAACTGGCAGGTATATAAGTATATGTTTTTCTGTGTTCTTTGATGAAATGAATAACTAAGTATGGCCACTAACCATATGTACTATATTAGATAATCGATACCAAGTAATATTCCCTTTCACAAATGAATGGCACGGACTTGGATTGTATGATAAACTTGTTTAAAAGTGCATGATAGTTCCATATCCCCTCTGCATACTTTATAATGATAGATGTCTGTAATAATATATTTTTCTCTCTTTATGTACATACATTTTCATGCACTTATGCCCAGTATACCCATTTTTGGTCTGTAGTAGAAGTGGCACATCTGTGTTAACATTTTCACTCTTATGTACAGCTTGAATGGCTAAGAAACATTTATTCATGACTGTTTGTACAGTATCTGTGTATAAACATGACACTGAGATAGATAAATTCACCAACATTGGTTATGAATAATTTTATATGTATTGGTGCCATCTAGGTTTAGTCGGTAGCTGGGGAAGGGTTGTGGGCGAGGCTAATCCTTTTATTTTAAAACATGATATAGACATGCACGTGCACACACGTGCATGCGCGCGCGCACACACACACGCACACACACACACACACACACACACACACACACACACACACACACACACACACACACACACACACACACACACACACACACACACACACACACACACACACACACACGTACACACACACACACACACACACACACACACACACACACACACACACACACACACACACACATACACACACACACACACACACACACACACACACACACACACACACACACACACACACACACACACACACACGTACACACACACACACACGTACACACACGCGTACACACACACGTATACACACGCACACACACACGCACGCACGCACGCACGCACGCACGCACGCACGCACGCACACACACACACACACACACACACACACACACACACACACACACACACACACACACACACACACACACACACACACACACACACACACACAAATATTTATTTGATAAAAAATCCTATTTTCTCAACATTGATTTTCATGATCATCTTGCACTGCTTTATTGGGCTAAAAAAAAAAAAAAATCAGAAATAAAAACAATCAGAAGGTTTGGTAATTAACATATTAACCAAAAACAATTGTACTAGGTATTAGTACAGGCAACTGTACATTCCAACACTGAACTCAATTCAGTTAAAATAATCCAAAGAAAAAAATGGTGATGAATTGAATTGGAAGAAATATAAACTTTTAGCCTAGATACACATTCTTAGACACAGATACACAATGACTTAAATGAGAAATAGAGAAATAAAAGAAATATATTTCGATTTGTCCTGCAGAGTACACAGGTTTGCCAGTTGTTCAGCAGCAGAACCAGCAGTCCACAACCATTGCCCTTCAGTGTGGTCAGTGTGGGGCCCTTGTATCACGGAACAGTCTTTTCTGTAGGAAGGTTAGTATGGCTAGGAGTTAATGAAGATTTAGTCAGAGGAGACCTAATTTTGATCTTGTTTATTTAGATAAAGTTGATACTAAAGGGACTTGGTATAGATTCATTCGAGTTTGATTTGGTTGATAGTTAGATTTAGTATAGATTTAGTTGACAGATTTAATTTTAAAATATATTTACTTGATTTATGTTTAGTTTTAGTTAGAAGGCATTAATTTTGATTTTGTTGGTTTTGATTTAGTCCAAGTTATTGTGAGTTGGTTTTGGTTTAGTTAATTTAGATCTAGCTAAAGGTAATTGAAGGTAGATATAGCTGGATACAGACAGAAATGATTTAGATGAAGTTAGAGTGAGTTGATTTCAACTTAAATAATTTGGGATTGACTGTGTTTTTATTTTATTGATTTTGGTTTTGCTGATTATTACAGGTCTGTAAAATACTTTTTTATCACTGCAGGATATGTTACAGTTTGGGACTCCTGAAAAGAGTTAATAATTTTGACTTTTTATCAAATATAGATAATTTTGATAACAATATTGACAATGATAGTGAAAATACTAATGATATTGATAATGGTGATGATTTTTATCATAAGGCCTTATGTACTATGACTAATGATAAAAATGGTTTAGTTTTACCTTAATGCCTCCAAGGATCTAACCTTCATTTGATTTCTTGACAGTGTGGCTGTCCAACATCAGCCTGTGCTGTATGTCATGGTATGGTGAGAGGACTGTTCGTATGGTGCCAAGGATGCTCCCATGGGGGCCATCTGAATCACATGATGAAGTGGGTGGCCAACAATAAGTCATGTCCTGCAGGATGTGGCCATCTGTGCGAGTACACCTAAGTACACAATTAATTGTGAATTTTAGATTCTCCTTATCTTTGATGTTGGTACTTATTTCAGAATCTGAAGTATATATACTTATTTCCTTTCTTTATGTTGTGAGAATACAGTGGGTATTAACATTCAATTGCAGTGAAAATTTTAAGAAATTCTCTAAGAAGTTGTTGTATTGGAGTGAAATGTTTATGATTTACAAAGTTGCTGTTTCCCTTTCCTTGTTACAGGAGATGTATTGAGTTCCTATGTATTGTATTGTACTGTATATATATCTGTATATATTTGATATAAGTACATTTTGAAAACCATTTTATATTAAAATTATATATATAAAAGATGTGTTTTATTACCTCAATGCAATATATGCCTTATGATGCTAGGGTTGTGACAGTATGGAACAGTCCATATCCAGCTCCAGTCAAAAGTTGGTGTGCGTGTGTGTACACGTGTGCATGTGTTAGCATGGGGACGGTGGGGTTAGCATTTGTGCACATCTGTACATACTTGTGCCTATGTTTGAGTGTGCAGAAGACACCTTGGCTGTTAACAGTTGCCTAGAGTTAATGCCTTTATTCAGGACAACAATTTGATTACTCCACCTTGATAGTATTTGCATTGTACTTGTCTATCTCTCAATACTATCATTTATTTAACAGTGTTCTTGTATTGCATTTTACCAATTTATGTTTTCCTGTTCCATTGCTTGGATAATACATTATGCAACCTTATTTGTGTATCATAAATATAACGTCACTGTGTCCTGTGGCCATTGCATTCCTTTCAACAAAATACAATCATTATTCATTGTACTCCAGGATATTTTCCTAATCCTTTGACACATAACAGCAGAGTTGCAGCCAGAGGAATGTATACTATTAATGAAAAGAAAAAATGGCTAGCAATGTTACAGGAGTAATGTGGCATTAGTATTTAATTGACAGATGTTTTGATATTGTTTTTATTAGTTTATTATTATTATTTAATAAGTAATAGTAATAGTAATAATAGTAGTAGAAGTAGTAGTAGTAGTAATTGTAGTTGTAGTTGTAATTGTAGTAGCAGTAGCTGTAGGAGTACTAAATTTATTATAATGATAATAATAATAAAAATATATATATATATTATTGTTATTGTTATTATTATCATTATCATTTCTATTATATTAATTATTATCTTTATCATAATCATCAACATTGTAATTAATTATTATTATTCCCATTACTGTTATTAGCATTGCTATTGTTGTTTTTATCGCTATTACTACTATTACTATTTCTATTATTTCAATTATTAATATTTTTGTTCTTATTTTTTTATTTTATATATATTAAATATATATATATATATATATATATATATATATATATATATATATATATATATATATATATATATATATATATATACACATATATATATATATACATATTTATATATATACATATATATATATATATATATATATATATATATATATATATATATATATATATATATATATATATATATATATATATATATAAGCTGGCAATTAACATTAAAGGAGTGTACCACAAGGATAAACAGGTCCAGCTCAAAAACCTGCATTAGAAGGAAAAGTCAAGTCTTGAGTTATATTGGCAGTATTTAATAACGTTAGGAGCATTCTGCTTGACTTTTCAACTTGTCTTTGCCTGCAGTTTTTCATTTTGCTATATGTAGTTCTGTTCTTAAATACAAGATTATCATTTTAATCTTATTGTTATTCTCTTATTGGAGCACTAACATTGTTTCCATACCACATTCCTTTTTTGAGTTGTTATAGTTAAGTAAATGGTTCTCCGTTTAAAGTCCTTGCTGTTGATCAGAATTTAAATATCATCAGTGGATAACCAAATTCTCCCTGTCACGTTTACGTTGTGTTGACTAGACGATAACTTACCAAAGGTATTTATTTTTTTATTTACACGCGTACACCAAAGGTGTCGTATTTGATGTATTTTTATTTGGCAAATTTGTTTTAGACAACCCCAATTAATTAATGTTTTATATGGAGGTAAGAGTCAGCTTTTGGGAAACATTTTAATCCAAACCCCAACTAGTAGTTGTCTACCACCTCGATGTATTTGGCAAACTTAGCTGTAATTGTTCGCTACACCAGCTGACTAGCCACTCTAAACGAGTCTATACAAGTATGTATAATGTTTTCAGTACAGTGCGTGATACAGAATCAAAAACACTGCGTGTGCTGAGAGGAAGATAGGATAGTTGAAGGCCAAGCCGATAACACTCGCAGTCACTCACAGGAGAGAGGAGAGAGTAGAGGTGATCTTGGTCATCTTGGTGAGAACAATGAGTGCGGCAGGAGCATGTACCAGCGTGTAGTTACCGGCAGGATGAGATGAGTTGCCGATGATCGGCGATTTGGACTGGAGGCGAAGCAAACCTTCGCAAACCTCAATGAATTGAGCTGAACTGGAGACTATGAAACCAAACGTCCTATCGCAGGCATTTGTGCTTACTCTGGAGCTGCTAAATGTTTTATTTGCTTTTCATTATTTTGATCATGTTATCCAATATTTTCTGGTAGAAGGGTTAACTTTTTAAAGCTCGAGTACCAATTAAATTGTTCTTAATGTTTAACTATTTGCGTTTGTCGAGCTTTTTTGGGCAGCAATTAGTCGCCAAATACGAGAACTCTCTTTCTCTCTCTCTCTCTCTCTCTCTCTCTCTCTCTCTCTCTCTCTCTCTCTCTCTCTCTCTCTCTCTCTCTCTCTCTCTCTCTCTCTCTCTCTCTGTGTATGTATGTATGTATGTATATGTCTTTGTGTGCGTGATTTGATTACATATATTAATGAAAAAGAGATTCACTTTCTCGATTATACAACACAAACAGTCGAGTCATGAAACTTCGCCATAATAACCAGCAAATAAAGATGGGACTTCAGAAAAAAGTTATACAGGAACTTTCTAATATGATGTTTAGTTCTTTCATCTCAAAAGGGAAAACGCTCATTCTGTGTAAACTCAAAACTTCCTCTGTCGAAAATTCTGAGAAGGATAAGAAAGCAGACCGGTAAGTTCTTACAAAATTTAATTGGAGAAAAACGTTAAGAATGTGAGACACATTGAAATATCACATTTAGTACCCAACATATTTGATTATTATTACTCTTGGTGATGATGATTTAAACAGGGCTCAAATATCTACATTATTGGTCT